GGGAAACCATAATTTGTCGGGGAGAAACAAAAAAAATATATGTATTTTGTACATATTAGTAAACTCTAAATTCGATTAAATAAGCCTTTGAAACCCATAAATTGTCAACAATTTTCGGGGGCTCCTCCGGACCACTTTCGGAAGGCTCTTAGCTCTCTTACTTGCTCTCGTCAAGGAAATCTTCCCCTCCTCGGAGCATCGCCCCCCCCCCCCCCGGACATCAGAGCCGCCTGGAGTAAATCCTGGTGCCATGATCCCTGAAAGAACATATGAGAGCTAGATTAATAATAGTTAGCCTATTCGGGTTTAAATAATGTTATTTAGACAGTGCATGATATAATGTATGGTACGGATATGCTTAAAGTCTATACAACCAATATCAATTTACTTCAAAATATTATAATTCAAATCGGGGGGGGGGGAGAAGGGGGGGCGTAATTTTCTTCTATTTCCCCCGGGCGCCAAAACATCTAGCTACGCCTCTGTTCGCGATGATCAGCTAACTTCAGGGAAAAATTTCAGTAGCAAAAACATGTAGGCGGCCTAAACATTCTGAATTGGTGTTTTAGTTTTTGGTTTCTGTTTTCTCAAGGGAGAGAGGGGACTCGTGCCGATTGTCTGAAGACTTGTGATGGATCCCCGATGTGAAGACAACTCTTTTAAGCTTTTTTAGGCCCAAAGTATAGTTCTCACAACTCATATATGTGCAATCTTTCTTTTTAGCCCAATTCAGCGAATCAATATTTTACACACTGTCATCATATCCAAGTATTTAGTAGATATTTAATAAGTCTTATTTGTTTTTTTTTAACCGTAGAAACCAATTATCATGATGCATTGACATTTTGACGTAATAAATATCTGAATCTGAATCATTGTAATAAAATAAAATACGGGTTCAATTTTACGGGAACAAAGTCTATGTAGTTACGTACAAAGCAGTATAAATGTCAAGACTTAAAAAATGTCTTCAAACTTATCTTCAATGACACTAATGACAGGCCTAAGTTGTGATGTGTTTTTTTTTTTTTTTCTGGTTTATTCTTTTTTTCTTTTTTTTTCGTTTTTTAAAATAAGGCCTATCAATCTTTATTATCTTTATTCATCCCAGATGGGGCAATTCTTAACAACGGGGACTGAAAAAATCATAAACAATTTTAACAATTTTAACGAGACTTTATATCGAGATTTTCGCTATTGTAAATTTTTAAAGAAACATCTTGTAAGTTTTAATTGTAATTATCTTAATAATTACATTTTATTATTCTTGTTTTACTCTTTTTTTCTTAATCATTTTTAACCTCCACCTTTTGCGATATTTGAACGGTTTTCTCATCCTCTTTGCCCTTGTTCCTCCTTGAATTGTATGTCTGTACTGTTTGTTGATTATTGATCTAATAAATGAATGAATGACTGAATGGATAAGTTTGAACAAGAACTAAAATCTACATATGATCGACATTTATGGGCCGAGGTATTCAGGCTCTCCGGTGGCTGATTTGAGTGGGTGTAGAGGAGTATTCCCCCTCTATTTGTAAAAGAGAAAACATGTAAAGCTTATCAGAAAATTGTAAAAAAAAGTGAAAATCAGTCAATTACAAACTCAGATTAAAGGTGCTAGAGGTTTCATGGGGAATTCGCCCCTTGTAAATTGTAACCTTACAGGGGCTCTTCATCATTTGCACTTCACCAGGATTACCAAATAGTATTTTATACTCATTACTAAGTCATCACTCTATAATAGTTGCCATAACTAACAAGGGTTGGGAAGTAGTAGGGATAGGGAAGAGCCCATTTCTCATTCTTTGAATCTGCCGCCAATCCGGGGCAGGAGTGAAGTTTGGAATACTTTGAGGTGAGCTAACTCTTGAAAGGTGACTGTTAGAATATCCAAATTGGCAATTTTTTGCTTTCGTTGTGTATCCGAGTGTTATTTAATGTCAAATAAAAGTCAAATGAACATGATCATGTCACGAATCAATATGATTGATATTAAATGTATTACAATCGTTACACTTCACTTTTTAGGCAATATAGGACGCCACCAACTTACATATTTATTGTCGCGGAGTAAATAGTTGAGCGGGAAAATCCCTATAACAAACCTACAAATAAAATTCTTCGTTTTTGTAATAGTCTACAATGGCGAATGCGCTCATCGCTAAAAATTGACACAGCCAGCAATATTGGGATTTTACTAGTTCTTCCTGTTTGAACTGGTTGTATCACGTTCTCAGGTTATATATGCAGGTAAATTACCACAGAGTCCTAAAAAATGCTACATTATAATAAGTGGCATTACATATTGTTTGACTTCAATCGTAGTTTTCGTAGATTCTGTAATCAAAACACAACAACCTCGTGTCGTGCTTTCTGCTGTAGCCAATCTACCTAGCCTAGCGAGGAATAGCTTGGCCTAGGCTAGCCTTTGGCCAGGGAAATAATCATTTGTGTCACACACCGTCAAACATGAACTCATTTAATGTCTGGATTTGATCCCCAAATTATTTACTAAGGGAGCTTGATTTACCAACATTGCTTGATAATTTACTAGTATGATTAATGCAACATCCGTGCTTCTATTTGAATTTTTTTAACAAACATGGTTGCAGGTTGAACTTGATCCAAAGCGAAGGTCTGATTCTCACATTGATTTGATTGACAAGTCAGTCTCTTGCTTAGCCTGTCCCCCTACTTTTGAAAGTTACATTATCAATCATTGGAGATAGGCCTATTCTTTTGCTGGGTGGCCTGCTGCTGAAGTTTTTTCACATCCTGTATGCCTAAACCAGTTTTTTTTTTTTTTTCCGTAATTAATTTATATAAACCTCGTTCGAGTAACTGTATTATTTTTGGGGGGTAAGTTTTTTCTTTTAAATTTTGTTTCAGATGGTGCGCTAATTTGCCAGAAATAACATTTTATTTTTATTCAAGATCATCATTATTGGCAGGCACTAACAAGGCTGTCTCTTATACACATCTAGATGTGTATAAGAGACAGGCCTTACACAGATCAAATATACATCGCAATCCTTTAGGGTTGCCACAGTCTAGGCAGGGCTTGAATTTCATTCCTAAACCAAGGGAAGATAAAATTTCTGTGTGATAATATCATATAAAAAGCAGAGAACTTCAAAATAGTCTAAAATAAGTCAGTGATGAGAATAGGGTCGGATTGCTATCAGCGGTCTGTAGACGGACTTAACGCTTAACCAACTATAATCATGATGTCACTACTGGTCTATGATTATAGACCATTGCTATACTGCAGTCTAACCAGTTAGCCATCTTAAATTTTAAAGCCTACTCGGAGGAGGCTTAAAACGGTCTTAAATCATTTTCATCATGGCGTTCTGATTAATTCAACAGTGCAATGACCAGACCTAGGCCTAGATCGTCAAAGGCGGAGAATCGAACGACGAATATTGGGGTCTTCGTTTATTTTAATGTTAATTTTGATTGGGTGCGTCGAGCACGCATGACATCGCCCCCCCCCCCATCTTACGTTACCACCAGGGAGTGCTTGTTTGCATTTCAATACTCAAAGCTGTCTTAGGGAAGACTGTTTTATAGCAATGGTCTTAGAGGAATGACTTTAGTAAGACCGTCTAAGTGATGTTTTCACATTGTTTTGTGTATAAATTACTGTATGTTTCTGTTATTTTTATAGATTCTTTAGAGGCTAAATTTTTGTTCTAATTTCTGATGACAAATTTATTCTGGCTGTTTGATAATACTGTAATGTCAATAATAGATTATTATTTCATAATATTTAATTTAAAATTATCTTTGATATACAGTAAATATACTCATGTAGATATTATATAATTACATTAAATATATTATTAGTATAACATGTTTTTTTTAACAACTTTTTATAATTATAAAAGCACTTCTTTCATTTAAGTGTATTTGCAAATTTATGAAGATTTTAGAGCTGGAACAATGTGCAAATATGCAGCTGGTGGCAAGAGGCATCTACTGTAGTATCCCCCTCCTCAAAGCATTGTTGAAGGGGAAGGATTCTCAATGCATTTTTGAAGGGGGAAGGAATTTTTTTTTTAAATAGCCACTGCTGTGCTTCATTATCCAGTGGTGTTCAAGGAACGTTGGAAACTTAAATCATTTTTAATATAGAGTACCACGTGACAGTCTTGTCGTCACGACGCCAGGTGGCGCTCTCTGTCGTCAACAGTTCATTACACATAAATGACTTCATATGCTTTCTGGAATAGGCATTTTAAAATAGCACCAAGCACAAGCAATTTGTAAAATAAACCAATTTAAAAAAAAATTTACTAGCCTGTTATATAGGATATAGCAAATAATAATACCCTAACAAATAATTTCAAATGCTGGACGTAAAACTAACAGTATTTGTCGCCCACTAGTGATGATGATTTCGATTAAAAAAAAATAAAAAATATTTGTATACATTGGTTAATTGGCAATGAAATTAAAAAATAAAAAAATAAAAAAAAAATAAATAAAAAAAAAAATAAAAAAAAAAATTATATTTTTGGCCAATTAGTGCACCTGCTGCCAAGAAAAAAATGGAAATTTCAGAAAAAAAAAATTGTCTTTATTTTTATTACGTCCACCACTGCCTTGAAATCTGCAAAAATAATATGTATATTTCTTCCTAATTATATAAATTTGAAGCATTTAACCATCCCATTACTACACTGTTTACATTCAACAGTAACATTTTATTTTCTCCTGTCTGTCTGGAAACTATGCTAAATAAGAAAACAAAATTTTAGTTTTATTTTTTTTTTTGCCCTCCTTTGACGATATTTAAAAAAATAAGTTCGCGAAACAACATATAAAAAATGTCTCACCTATTAATTAATTTTATTTGGCCTAATACTGATTATTTTTCACAGGTGTGAGTTAATTCAAGATGTTCGGTGGGGCGAATAAGTCCGGGTTTGGGACAACGGGGAACACTTTTGGTTCAGGTAGGTTGGAGCTTTACGCACTACAGTAATCAGAGGATCATAAAGCCTGGTTTACACGCTATCACCGACTCCTTTGACGACGCTGATTGGTCAGTTGAATCATGGGGGCATTCCCAATTGCTGCGCAGTGCAAGGACTGCAGTGAAAACACTGTGTAGCGATTCTATGGAATCCAAGCTTAATTTTAGAAATTTATTATTAAATTACATTTCATCTTACCGACGTGGACAATGTTCCCACTAACAGGTGCTGAAATACTCTACTTAATTTACAAAGTTAATGAAAACTTATTCATTATAAAATGTACAATTTCAAAAAATGCATCATATCAGTGCTTGTCTAAGCTAGGCTACATGTCTAGTTTAGGCTTCACAAAACCAATTTCTATGTTCTCATGAACAATGACAATAAAATATAATTGAGAATTAGGGTAGTCTAATCTGGGACCTAAACCTTATAGTGTAGAATTTCCACTTTAAACCTCCAACTTTATCAGTTGCATTATTGAAAATTACATAAAATGCAAGGATGGGCATTATGCTTGGAGATTAAACTATTTACTAGTCGCAAAAAGAACCAATAAAACTTAAGATACAATTTGAAAAGTTTCTTAACTTTGATTAACAGGATTATTCAACTCAACAAGCAAACCAACAAGCGGGTTTGGAACTGGTGGATTTGGAGGTCAAAGTTCAGGTTCTGGCCTTTTTGGCAACACCAGTGCTACTCAATCATCGGCTGGTACTTTGTTTGGAACAGGTGGTACTAGCAGTTCATTTGGTACAGGTGCAAGTAATACAGGTAAGACCACTAATCAATTATTTAAATTAGATTTTAATCAATTTATATACTGTCTCGTATATGTATATATTTAAATATAAATAATTCATGATATAATAGAGATAGACTCTAAACCATCTAGCGGTAATGCTATAAACAATGTAAATCAATTTTAAATGTTAAAAGAAGAATTTGCGAGTCTGAAAAAATTGGTGCCTCACCCTGAATTCGATCTCAGGACCTCCTGCTATCTATCAATGTAAATAAATTTTAAATGTTAAAGAAGAATTTGCGAGTCTGAAAAAATTGGTGCCTCAACCTGGATTCGATCTCAGGACCTCCTGCTATCTATCAATGTAAATAAATTTTAAATGTTAAAGAAGAATTTGCGAGTCTGAAAAAATTGGTGCCTCAACCTGGATTCGATCTCAGGACCTTCTGCTATCTATGTAGATGCCTTAACCAACTAGGCCATTGAGGCTTCGTTGGGAATTCAAATCTGATTAAAACATCTAATTCTTCACATTCACGCGCATGCGTAGTTAAACAACACCAGTTCTTCATGCATGGCAAATAACAGAGATAAATATGATATGCCCTCTTCTTATAGGCATTTTGATACCAATATGAGATCTCGAACAGATGCATTTTATAAATAAATCATGATATATAGAGATAAACTCTAAACCATCTTGTGGTAATGCTAAAAATATATATTTTCACTGATTTCAAGCCAACAAATTTCAAATTGACATTAAGTAATTGGCCACCATATTTCTGAGCCAAGACTGTCACAGCTGAATGGTATTGTTATTGTTTAGAATATTGCTTAATAATAAGAAAAAAACAACCAAAAAAAGGTTCAGAGGGTTGACCCTTCAGAAGCTTTGTCAAGTGAGGATCTCATAACCTGTAAAAATTTTATCCTCAATGACTTTGGCCCTGCCCTCCTCCCACCCCAGAATTAAAACTAGGTTCCTTCTCGCACTCTCAGAATTAAACCTTGTTTCCTGGCCCCATCCCACAGAATTGAACCTACTGTAATGTAGGCTAGTGATCCTATAATAATCCAGTATACCACACAGGGTTCAAATTTCCCCACAGCACCGAAAGCAATTGCTATAGAAAGGGCATTCCACTAATGTTATAAATCCCAGACTCGACAGCAAGCTTTTTCTGTTGAGTCACCTGACCCAGCAGTGGATTATTCATAGAATAGGCCTATTCTAAGACAAAAGCTTGCTGCAGAAGAAGAAGAATAAATTGCTGTAGTAGCCATAGCCCACAGCAACTATTTGCTAATGGAACATTTTGAGGAAATTCTAACCCTGCCGCATAAGTAATTAATAGTTCTTAGTTCGAGCCTTAACATTTTTCGAACATAGATGTTATTCTGCTGATAACAATTAAAACAACCATTGAGTTAACTTAATTGAAACTTCAAAAGACACTAAAGAACAAAATCAACAGTTCATACCAGAAGTATATGCCATATTCATATATACTTGGTGTACCACAAGCATTTATTATATTTGTTACTTCGCCATGCAATAAAATAATTCATTTTATTAGAAAATATAGACTTTGAGTTAAACTTGAAATAAAATTTGTGTTTTATTTTAAGTTGAAACTGTATTAAATAAATGAGAAATCACTGCACTTTCTAGGCCTCATTTGCAGTTGTTTGTGGTTGATTTTGGCGTCTTTCCAGTCCTAAATTTATGTTTGGAATTTTTTAAACTATTACATCATTGAGGTTAATGTACAGAAGCTGAGTATGTTGAAATTTGGATTGCTGATACTAGTCTGATGACATTGAGTTGCCAAAAGGAAATGAAGTATGGATAGATATGGCTAATGTTTCCTTTTCCCTTGCAAAAGTATTTAATTATCAGCCTATTTTGGTAAAATTAAAAATTATATTATTACTTAATATAGCATCAGATTCATTAATAAATAAAAAACAGGATATTTTGGCAACATAATTTGAAATTTCTTACGAATGCTTTGATTTTTTTCCTTTGTTAATTTATAATTGACTACTGATGTGTCATTTCCTTCCATCGTTTTGATGTTTGCTGCCCTCTATATTTTGACCTGTTAGCAAAGTTTAACAGGAAGGTGTTCAAACCTGTTTTATAATGCATTATGAATATAAGTAGATAACATTTGACAAGAACATATTATATTATTAAAAAAGAAAAATTGGCTGTTGTATGGAGAATATAATCTTAATGATTTATGATGTTAAATTGTATTTCCGTCTCAGTTTTATAATACAGCTGTCAATCACGCAAGAAAGCAATAATGTATTGTGATTTTTAATGTGGAATTCTCATGATTTTTTAACTGTATTCTATGTTTTTTTCAAAAAATATTTTTATAGTCAATTGTCAATGTGTGCATTGTAATTTTTGATTTTTAAATTTGTTCAGTGTACACTTGAATTGAATAATGTTTTTCTAGACATTGGCTGTCCAATTTTTTACTTCATTATTATTCAAAATTTCTCACCTTATATATTCTTTAGAATTTAGCTTTTTTTTTTTTTATTTACGGTAAATGTATTAAAGTTTCTCCAAATTTAAATATGGACATTGTATTTGTAAGTTGTGTCGTATGGTTTAGAGATATTAAGATGTATATATTTTTTTTTATAGGTTTCAGCTTTGGAAGTGGTTCAAATAGTTCTACAGGTAGTAGTATGTTTGGGAGCACAAACACGGCCGGTTCTACTGGTTTGTTCAACACACCTACTTCAAGTTCGTCGTTCGGTACTGGCGGTTCCTTGTTCGGTGGTCAAAAATGTAAGTTATTCATTCTTAATCAATTTCAAGCAAGCAGAACCTTATTCAATTAATTTGCTATCAATAATTTAATCTTTTATCATTTTAAAAAAATCAAATTTATATACTGTATTATGTTGTATTTATTTATTTCTTTTATTATAATAAATTCAATGTCAGTATTTTCTTAGTTTTGTTTATGTTGTATATTGTAATATATATAAAATTACCTTGCATGAATTTAACATGTAGAAAAAATATATAGATTTAATAAATAATTATTCATACGATTAAACATGTAATTGTAATGATTATCCAATGTTTTATTCTTTTTTGATGGTTGAGAGAAATATGTTAGTCACTGCTGTGTAATGATAAATCATGCAAAGTCAATAGAAGAAATCTCAAGATTATTTTTTTCATTATAAACATGATATTTCAATGCCAAGATCATGAATATTTCTTAGTTATATTCTAGGAACATAAACATGAAAATAAAAGCCTCATGAATAAACTGCAGTCTTTAATAAACATGTTAATGAATTTTCATAAATTACTGCTTGAAAAAGCAAACTTCATTTGACCAAAAAATAAATATGATATTGTAATGCCAAGGTCATGAATATTAATGAGTTGAGGTCAATTTGTAAAATCCCTTACAATTTACATTGTACTAGCTAAACGCATACCATGAAGGAAAATGAAAATGTAATAATTGGAGTCTTGAATAAACATGTTAATTTAATGAATATTCACAAATTAAAGCTTCAAAAAGCAACAGCTAGTTCATTTGCCATGTGGGATTTCTTGTCAACTGGACGTCCTTCATAGTTATTGCATACTCATATTCGGGGGGTTTTTTTTTCCCACTCTTTTGGCAGACTTCACGTTAGCCATGTTAGCGTTGTTTAAGGGTGGAATTAGTGGCAAGTGTAATTCTTTATAATTTCCTATGATTCACAGTCTTTCCCTTTCGCCGTGGAACATACTGTCTCAACAACTACGTACTGTTATCAGTAATGTACTCATTTCTTTCAGCTGCTTTCGGAGGGGCGTCCGCCGCCGGCGGCATATTTGGCCAGCCGGCTGCGACGGCTAGCCCGTTCGGCCAGGGAGGAAGCACGGCGGGTGGGGTTCTGTTCGGAGGAGGTTCTTCTAGCGGGTTTTTTGGCTCTGCAGCTCCCATCAGCGGAACAACCAAACCTTTTCAGGTAAGATGGCATCATTTTTACAGGTGCATAAAGATTATCATGGAATTGCAATTTTATGCTGATTTATAGCCATTTTCATGCTTTTATTTTCAGGGTTTTTTTTTTTTTTTTACTGCGAATGCAATTAATTTGAATAAAATAACTTTAAGAAAAAGAATTGTTAATTTGAGGTTCATCATTCAATAATATGCAGTTTAATTTAGAAAATTATCAGTATGTTTTACATATCTTTATTATTTTTATTGGCAAACATGTAAGAATTTGGCATTAAACAGAGTCCCCGGTTTTCTTTAATTTGTTATTTCCCTTTGTCTCGTTAGGCAATTACTGATACCTAAGTCATATTATACCAAATTTATATCTAAGTTACAGTTCCAGGGGGAAAGTCTTCCTTATTACATCATATAAATTTAAGAAATTAAGCCTCTGTAGGCGTATAGAGTCGATGCTTATTTGTTGTCCATAAAAGGGAGCCTTATGGCTGGCTGGCAAGTAGCATTCCGATTTCTGATATAAAACACATACAATATGTACATTAATAGGCTAGACATATTAAATTAATTGTTAAACATGCAATACAAACAAGTCACATTATATAGTATGATTGCCTGTTTGTGTCAAATTCTTAATTTGATTCTCGAGAGAATCGCGATATTATGACCATGCGTTACATGTAATTGAACTGTTGTACTATAAATTAATGTGAAAGAAAACATAAACTGTGTCACTCAGTCAGCATTAAATATGTTTTAAATGAAAATGCATTAATTAGGAAAAGTCCAGATTATGTCAATTATTCGGTATTGATGTGTTTTTCATTTAGTTTTTATCACTGCTTGTGTTCTAGAAGGAATATAAAATAAAATGTTAGGTCTACATAAAAACAACATATTGCTTTAATACATTCATAATGATAAAATCATTTTAGCTGCCCACAATTTTAACTATCTCTTTTATTTTGTAAATTTGTTTCTTATTGTAATGCACATTTGAACATATTTTTATTTGAGTTTGCACAATGTAAATTAATCTGTTATTATCAAAGATCTTATAAACACAAGATGGCATTCTATGCGATTTACGCTAACAAATAGAAACGTTGATTTGGCACAGAAAAGTGATCACTTTTGAGAGTGGGCGTCCTAGCCGTTGCTATGGATCTGAGATCGGGTCTTCGCGTTACGCCAAAGTTCGTTACCAAGTACGTTAATTGTTCCTTAATTGTTCTAAAGAGAGGGTGCATTGTAAATCGGACACTTCTAATTGTTACGCGTAAACTTAAAGACGTGAGGCGTCAAAGTTTTCACTTTTGCAAGAGGGCGCTGTACACTTCGTTATTACAGAAATTGCACACGGAAATCGCGGAGAACGCTATCTTGTGTTTGGTCATTATTAATATCTGCTGTTAAAATTTGCAATGAAAATACTCTATACTATTCTAATTTTTTTTTTTAAATGACAGAAATTAAACAAATAATGTCAATTGGGAATGTTTTCCACTTTTCCAACAATTATTGCAGTTGAAATAAAGGCAAGATATATACATGTTTTGATTGGGATAAAAGAGTAAAGTATAGGAAAGGAATTAAAACAATTTATACCTGCAATTAAATTGTAAATAATCCATATGTTCAGACACTGGGACAGAGTGATGCAACTTGTTTAAAATTTTTAGAGCTAAGCCTCTTTCTGTAGAATATTTACATCTTTGAGTATGTGGGGGAAGGCCAGAAACTCCTAAAGGACTTGGCATTAACAACGGCATTTCCCACGGGAAAGCAATCAGGAAAATATGTATCTATGATAACACACATGATAAAACAATGATCGAATAACCTTGTATGATTGACACCCTCGTGTGTTCCGGGCAGATTTACTCTTATGGACAGTGTCGAAATTTATTACTGTTCGCAAGTTAAAACATGTGCAACAGTAGATAGGGTAGTGATGGATGTTACACTAAGAAACATGTGTTTTATGTCTAGCCTGATTGGTCAACGAAACGGCACAGGAACTGTTGTTTTGTGGGTTTTTCTCGGGGGAAATAGCAACCTATATTAGCGAGAGTTCACTGTCAGTCCATTCAGCCAAAAAGTTTTAACGAAATTTCCCTCGCACATTTCGTAACTCTTTTATTCAACTTGACCCAGTGTGAGTTAGTCAAAGTTCTGAGAATTCCAATTTTTATCACATGTGCACATGAATATTTAACATGGTTATAACTCTTGTTATCCGGTTGTATTGGTTACGTTTCATACGTTCAGGTACATATCACTTACAACAAATCAGATCAGACATATCACTACCGAATATCAGTGGCCTATCTAGGAGTCTTGAAATGGTTGGGGGTGGGGGGCTGATGTGGAGGACTCGATTAAGTGAAGGGTGCGAGCTAGCAAATTAAGGTGACCTAAGGGGAAACATTTTCAATGTTGAAGCGACTGGCGGAAGGAATTTTTTTTGGTACGTGGGTGGAGGGGCAATGTTCTCTTCCCTAATTATGACACTGCCTGATACCCAGGTGCATTATCTTATAT